TTGTCGGAAGAAAGAGAGAAAACTATGGGTCCTCCCTGGTGGCACAACAGGTTAAATAAAGCACAGCACTGTGAAGCTATCCACAGCCACTGCAGCATAAGTTCGATCCCACACCATGACCCACATGGCACCGCAGAACTCTCCTGTCTCCCCGCTGCTCCCCTCTGCAGTGGATTTCAGTGGATCTGCTTTTTCTGCTCTCCACTCTGTCTCCGGGGAATCCTCTCAACTCCCCCCACCCCACACCTCTGGCCTGTACCCCAGTTCTTGTATATATTAATAAATGAATTTTTAAAAAAATAAAAAGAGAATAAACCAAAAGGAGAATTTCAGCTGAACTTCCAACATTTTTTGTGGATTTATAAGAAAGGTCATTAAGTTTTAGTAATGAACTATTAAGCAATCTCTTAACACAACAGTCGTTACAAGATGTTAAACTCTTACATTTCCTATGCTTACCTGATATATCATTACCTTATCATTTATTTTACTTTTTAGCCAGCATTTTTGCTAGTATTTTCTTTGTTCACTTTTTAAAGTGCAATGAATTTATAGGAAATATTATGTGCAACCAAAAGTTTAAGATTGCTCTTACAAATGTTTAGGCAGAGCCATTACTATATTTTAATGAACAGTTAAGTAATTTCAGTCTCTAATTGTTAAGAATATTCTTAAATTATTACTTTTTTTATTTGCTTCTCTTTGAGGTTTAAAAATCAGTTAGACTGTGTAGTCAATACAGCAATTTTTTTTTATTACAATGACCTCTGCATGATACTTAAGCATCGCCTGAGCATGCCCTTTTGAATTTTCTCTGACATTTACCACTCACTGGCTCTGTAAGATTATGTCAATGTCAAGGTGTCTTACAGTGGCCAAGAGTGATATGCTAATTGAAGAATCTTCCAAGTTGTCAATTATCTTCAAGTGAAAAAATGTCCCTGATAAAAAAATCAGTCAATAAATCTTTTTTTAGGCAAATAACATGCTACCACAGATGAAATTTACAAAGAGCCTTAATCTTGTCAGTATCTTAAAGAAATGTATAAGGTGAAGAGCTCAGTCATTTCTTTTTTCTGATATGATTATAACCTTAAGTGACCCCATCAGCCACCTGTTCAATGGATCACCTGGTCTTTAAGAGCAGACAAAGCATTGTTTTTAAGGTGTATCTTTAATATTTTAATACCACTGTATTATACACTACCATCCTGTATTTGCCTCTAAGGTTATTTTTAAATTGATAAAAATTACTGAAACATTCGTTCTTCTTAAGAGCAAATGAACTTCTGCACTGCAGTCTGTCTGCTCATCCATAATTCAGGAGCCCAGCAAAAACATTATGCTCAAACCAGCACAAATATTGGCAAAGGTGAAATATTGAACTGCTACTGTAGCAGCTAAATTATGTAGCAATTTCTGTGTGTGGGGTTTCATTTCCTAGCACTAGAAATAAAAATTAAAAGCAGAAAATCGGTCAACAGTTATGGTGGTGAACTAAGTAAGCAAGAGAAGAAAGCCAAGTTGCCATTTTTCTAAGACACAGTCTTTTGATTAGTAATCAGGGCTCTGAGATGCCAGTAAAGCCCAAGAGGGGAAAAAGCATTCAGCACTTAGATTATCTATTCAGGCCAAGAAAAGAGAATTGTGGAAAAATGTGCTTATGGTTTCAGAACTCTACAAATAGCAACTCTGATTCTATTTCAGATACTAGAAATGTATTTGTCTTCAAATAAATTCCCTCAATTCTCCTACTTATCTGGGTAATCAATAATGCCAGCCTCATTAACTGGATCATGGCCCCTGATTAGGTGACTCCAGAAGATGAGAGGGGTTACTACACGCCCTTGATAGGCACTGGTCTTCTATGTGGGGGTCACTGGCAGCAAGGGAGGCTGGCTCTGGTTCGGACTCAAAGCATCAGCAGTGTCCACAGTGAGAAGGGAGGACAGGAGGACTCAGGCAGCTCGCCTGCTGACTCAGCAGAGCAAACGCAGATCAGTATGTTAACAGACACATCTCCAAGTCTCCTCCACAAGCCAGCCCCCTCCTCCCAGACCCTCTGATACAGGTGAGAGGCGCTGCACTTCGTGACTCTGCAGACCTTACCTTTTATAGCCACCGGTAACCTATACATAGGGTGCACTTGGTGCTAAAAGCTAGTAGTGCTCAGGAACTTCCTCACCTTCTGAATTTTAAGACTTCTAAATTTGTCAGTTACCTATATGAGATGTTATGACTTTTACCAGAAAGGACGAAAACTTAATACCGTAAATATAGGCTCTTCATTAGGTCATACCATTACAATTTACACAGACGATAAAACCATTACCACTTCTCAAATCTGCATGACTAGAGGAATCTGCAAGAGCCTTCTCCTGCCATTTTCTTCCATGTTCCCACAGAGATCACGGCCTGACCCGGGTGAGTACTTCATCTGACCTCTCGCAGGACACCTACAGGCTTCCCACCAATCCTGGGCAGGCAAAGCAGGCTGAGCACAGCCCAGACTCTGCAGCCAGACCCCTCAAGGCACAGCTACCAAACCCGGCGTCCACTTCACAGACCGCCCCTCAAGGCACAGCTACCAAACCCGGCGTCCACT